GGGACCATGAATTGTGAATGATTTCCGGAATTTGGTCCAAAAAAACGATGAGAACCATTCTCACCTTCATTGGGAACGTGAATTCATTTATCTTTGACACGAATCAACACATACATCACGTTTTAAATTCATTCCATCTATTGTCACATACTGTACACACGATCAATCGGTTATCACACATTTACTTAACATACACATCGCATCAAACAATACCAACCTAGATTCGTATTATTCTTACGTATGGCCATCCGATATACTTAACGTGCAGCCGCTCATGGCCGCCCTGGCCTGGATGTAATTAAATGTCCGTAGAAGAATATGGGATCCTTTGCCTATTTTCACACCGTCCGTGCGCTCGAGTTATTTCATAGAAACAATTGATTATATTGTCACACTTTTTTTTCTTGCGAAAGAATTGACACCATTTCCGGATTCGATTGCATGCGCGCACACAAATTCATGAGTGAGTGATGATTCCCCCGAAGAATTTTGACATACCTAGTTAGCATTTAACACACCATATGCGTGCCCACATCCTCTTGACCAATCACAAGTCACGTTTTTAGTGCAAAGTCTCACAAAGGGAGATTTTTTTATTCTCGTAATTGAATTGTGCGCAACCCAATTTATTAATCAAATCAATCGACAATATAAACACACCCCAGCATAGTCTCAAATTCACCGTTCCATCTAAACTGTCTCACTCCGGCGGCCCGGCACCTAAATTGTATTACCTCTAAAGTTTTTCCGATGCCAAAAATATTGATTTCTGTTTTCTTATCAAAGTGCGTTGTCACGACACAAGATACATGCGCACTTTAATTTGGTAAGACACGGTCGATCACTTGGAAAACCTTTGTTTCAGGAATTCGGTTTACTCCTCTCTGTTGTCTCACGCGCCCTCCAATTTTTAATTCACAAGTATTACGACGGAACCACTTTTCGCACACTCATCCTAATACACGCGCAACCCATTACCCAATTATTTTCGACGCCAAGGATCGGATGATTATTCTAACCTTTCTCTTTCAACAATTTAAAAAAAAAAAAAATACATGCACATACATATATGTGTGTATGTATGTACAGTACAGTATGTATTTGTTTTCATAAAACATTAGATTTATTTTGATGATTATTAAAAACTTTGCACCGTGGTTTAAAGCAATGACCGATTCAAAAATAAACAAGGTTAAAAATAATTGTCCATCATCTTATCACAGGGTACGATAGACCAAAAGAATCCTTGAGAAAATATTAGGACGACCTGTGTCTTTGTAAGATGATGTTACATGTGTTGAAATTAATTAATTTCACCTGTGTTAGTGAACCAAACGTTATCTGAACACCATCCATCCATCCATTTATTCATTCATTCACACACCATTGATTTATTCATTCATTCATTCACCAATTTATCCATTCATCTGTTGACTAATTCGCTCACGCTAACTCACTCACTTGCTCACGGCGTTCCTTCGGATTCTGTTTTTAAACCTGTTGTTACCTTTATTATTATAACACCCCAGTCGATTGTGGAACCCACCCGCCGCTAGTCACGCCCATCTTGGGTGACACGAATAACTACGTTTTTTATCGATGCTCTGCGCTGCGTGCGCATTTTCTGGAAAATCTTTTGTCAATCCGGATTTCTTCGCAACAAGATTGACCAATAGGATCGCACAACTCACCTCCACGAAATAATCGATTATTAATTGATTACTTGAATTCAAACTTGAACCGAGTTAGCCCAATATTCTATGACGATGCAATAATTAACCTTCGTCATTTTACGCACAGCGAAGGATGCATCAACCAGTTGTGATTGAATTTTGAATTCTTGCATTCTCAACAATGCGACTCACGGATAATAATTAGATAAATGAGTTGGTGGTGCAATGTTGGGAACGCATTTTGTGCGAACGCCGTCGTTAATTAAATTCTCGAGGATACCAATTTCAGTAATTATGCGGATGCCGTGCGTGGTGATATTCTTGGTGCTCTCGGTCTCGCCCTGCAAATCTCCACACCACACTATCACTTGAACGATAGTTGAAGAAGATATGGTTTTGTGTTATATGACGAGCCCTGATTGAGCAAGTTGTCGATTGTGCGATGAATGAAATGTGGCAAGATTTTTCTGTGATAAATTTGGTAAGACAACCATACTCATTTATGGGTTCTTCGGGTGACCAAAAGGACGCCCGGCACACATGTGTGGTTGGATACGGCACCACAATGCATGTTCAATTTGTACCATGAAAAAAAAAAAATAATCTTATCTATACTTTGGTGAATCGATAAGTTATTTACAATAAACATCATTTGTTCATTAGATAACTGCATAAATCCAACTTTAAAAAAAGAACTTGTGATGACAATATATTCTGACAAATAAATAAACGATCGGAATATATGAATGTTATCATTATCAGCATCATTCGAAAGCAACAAAGAACCTGTTCAGAGACCAGACGAATTATCATGGAATGATTGAAACAGTTTGGCTAGCCGGCGTCGTGGGCGCACCATCCGTTTCCGCCATATGAGTTTCCGCATTGATAGTGCCGGTGAGAATGCGTGGGTGGTACGTAATAGTAATTGAACCACTTTTGGCGACCTGATTTGCATTCTCTTTTTTGGGGGGTGGTCCACTCCCTCACTCTTCCGTCATACACTCTTGCCCTTTAACCCTCCCCTCCGCCTATTGCCCGTGTGTGTGAGTCATACTAATCGATACATGCGTGGGTAGAGTCGCTCCACACAATTGGTGAAATTTTTGGCTGCAGTGGTGGTGAACGGACGGGTAATTATTGGATTTCGGGAGAATTGGAGGTTGCATGCTGTTTAACATACACACGTACAGTAGTATGTCTTTGGAAAAGGAAAAAAGAATTCAGGTTTCTTTACAAGAATTCGACCTTTCATCTTAATACGTACAAACTCATCCAAACATGGCCTGTCTCTCAAATTGGCTGTTAACACAAACTTGTTTGATGGATTCTATAATGAACATTATTTTGGCATCTAACTAGTACTAAATTAGCCTTCCTATATAACGAATGGTTTTGCTTGTGTAAAGATGGTTGTGCGAGAGTTATTTACATGTTCGAACGGAAAAGAAAAAGAAAAGAAATGGGGAGTACAATGAGAATTAAGGTAACCATGCTTTATCACCGTAAAACTCAATTTTCTTTCCGCCACCAAAGAGAGAAATTGATCAAACCGCAAGAATACACAGGGTGACCATGTTACAAGAATATACCGGGTAACCCTATTAGGTGCATCTCATAGTATCTGGTATTTGTGTTAATGATTAACGTTATTTCTGTGCACTTTATTGTTGTTTCTCGTTATCTTTTTGTTTTCTTTTCTTCCGTAGAACCATTTTGAGAAAAAACTAATAATTTTCGACACTCTTTTTTTTTTTTTCATAACATGCATGATACAAACAGTAAACAACTTTGATATAGTTTATCAAATTGTTTATCTCCTAAACACACCTTACATTCAATCAGCATCTCCGCCAGACGAATGCCTATCAAAAAGCTAATTCCGAGTTCTTAGTCCAAGACAAGGTTACACGTACATAGAACTATCATTATTTTATCCTGTTTGGGGTGAAATATTTACCACACACTCTACATTGCATGCATGGCATAAAGTCATACGACGTGCGTACGTACGTACGTATTTTGCGCTTAAAAATAAATTTGTTAATGTACCGAGGATGCTCCCGGTAAAAGCTGACACCCAGTGAACTTCTTCCATTATTTGTCATTCATTTATGGACTATTTATTATCATGACATCGTCATCGCATCTAAATATTTTGCAGGGTTCGTTTTGTTTACCACTAACACAAAGATAGATCCTGACACAACTTTATCCTAACCAAATGGTCTCTTTTTTTTTTTTCTCCGCAAAATGACTTCTCCCAATGTTTTTGACCGGTCAACTCTTGCCTTTTTAATCGAGCTCACATCTGTAGTGCTTCTCGGTGTGTGTCTTCATCGTTTGCCGTCTTCCACTTTACTACAATAATTTCGCATTTACCAAAATTAGCATTGACGTTTCACCGTGCGCTGGTTTTACGAGTTTTACTCCCACTCCCATCCCCCATCCATGAGAGGTTGGCGTAATTCTCTTTGAACCTGATGACTATTTGTCACACCATAAAAAATCGATCCCGTGGGTGCGTATTTCCGAGATAAGGAACAAGGAAAAAACGAATTGGAACATTTCATCGTTCGGAAACTTGCGATATGAACTCCCGCAGAATGTTGATTACGTGACTTGAAAAAGAAAAACGAGACAAGATTCCTCCCCTGACTACAGCAATGTGATTCACGATCGATCTTGTGTTGTTTATTAGACTAGAAGAGACGGGCTGTGGTTGTTTTCGATTTATGGAGTACGTAATGGTGAAGATGAATTATTTGCTTTAGAAGGAAAGAGTTACAAAAAAGATTTCGCTTAAATTGCGACCTCAATGAGATCTTTAACTTTCCATGTTGCCATGACACTGTATCACCCTGGGCTACGTATATTATTAATCAATTATCGATAAGGTTCTTAATGGACATCCTGACTGGCTTGTCGTTGTAATCCGGTTACGCAAAGATGAGGACTTAAACTTCTCCAAACAATGAGTCACTCGGTCTGGTCATATTGAAGACTAAATCCAAGATGAAAGGAATGACGCATAAAGCAATGTATGATTAAAATTAAGGAACCACATTGATGAATAAGACGATCGGTCTTCTTGAGAACTAAGTACGTAGTCAGGATCTTCAAGAATAACGCCCACATTTTTGAAAAGTGACACAGATTATATAGTAGCATCCATAATACACAAAAAAAAAAAGAAACCTTTTCTAAAGTGTTTCATCCTCAAAGAAAATCTTGATCACAGCCTTCCGAATTACCTTCTCCTTATTCCCTAATGATAGGTGTCAAAATTTTTAATTTTTCTTTTTTTCATATCGATTTAATAAATCCTCATTCTTGAAATGGACTGGCCGAGAGGCGCAAGAATTATGATTGGTCGGAAATGAATGAAAAAAAAAAAAAAAAGTGGAATAACGAATTACCCATGGTTTTTACTGAGCCCTTTACTAAATGCATTGGAAAGTGTGTGCGAACTTTTCTTGAATAACACCCCCCAATGCACCTTTGCGGTACCGTTATTATGCGTCTCATTATGGATAAATATCGCACCTTTCACGGAGTTCAGATTTGAGGGAGAGTGACTCGCGTGACCAGCGATAAACTCGCGGTCAAGTCCGAAGCACACTTGTGTTGTGGTATCCTTGTCACAAATTTGGAAGTGCATACGTACGCACCTTCCGCAGCTTTTGTCCGACTTTTTTTTTTTTTGCCGGTAAGTTGTTACCCGAATCTACACATACGTCTTGGCGGAGATTGTATACGGCAAAGTCCGATGGATATTGATAGAATAAAAAATTATCCGTTCGTTCTTGGATCATAAATGCGCGTACACGAATGCCTTGTTGAATCACGTGCACAAGGTTTTTTTTTTGAAATGTTCGCGTCAACTAGGCGAAAGCAATTCATGTCATTCATGCAATGTTATTTATTATTATTATTTGTATTGTTTTGATTTTATTTTGTTTTAATTCTCTTGTTGACAAAGTATGCGCATTCATCAGTAATCTCGCTTTTCCCAACAAACAAACACTTTAATCGGACACAAAAACTTTTGAATCAACAAAATTTTTTTTCAGTTTCTTGGATCATGCGTTAACATGTTTGTGATTTTTATTTTTGAAAAGCGAATATACGAGTATCCTTTTTATAATATAAAGCAAACAATCGTAATTATTACAATAGTGGATGATGTTTATGTAAATTTTTTGGAAGTTGATTGGGTTTTTCTCTTTCGTAGCCAAATTATTAATCATTAGATTTTTTTTTATCGTTCGTTCTTCGGCAAATTAGAATTACGGAAGGGAAAGGAAAAATATATATATATATATATGGTGTTCGATTATTATTAAGTAAATTTATGCTGGTTGACATCGAGAAATGCTTGTTTTTTTTTGTTTTCTTTGGTGCCGAGAAAAATTTGTAAATAAAAATTGAAGAAAAACCAATGCTACGAGACGAAAACAACATTTCAATAATACTGAGTATATAATAAGGTGATGAAAAAATAAACTAATAAGTCGTGTGTGAATAATAGTAGTAGTAGTAGTAGTGGGTATAAATGTAAGATGGTGTGAAAAAAAAAAAAAATGTATATTCAGATTTAAGCCAAAGGAGAAACAAGATGATTTTTATAAGCCAGAGATGATTTTATGAGAAAATATATGTAAAAGAGAAAAGAAAAAAAAAAAAAAACAATTGCTCTGCAATTAGATCACGTCTCGTACGCGATCGAGAAAAGGGGAAAGAAAAAAAAATACAAAGAAAAAAATAAAGCGAAACGTGAAGACATAAAACGCTCGTCATAACCCTTATATACAGTTTTTGCCAAATAAAAAAACTTATATATAAGCCATATAAATCCCTAGATTATCCTATTAAGCTATATACTATGTATTTTATATATATATAAAGGAAAAAATACTGTACAAGAGGTGTAATTTCTTTTTTTAAAAAAATAATTTTGCCATTTGTTCGATTTTCTCTTAGACGAAAGAGGTTGCTGCACTCGTGTCTGTTGGGTGCGTGGTCATTTGTGATTGATAAAGCGTGTGCGTGCCGTATCCGTTGAATGCAGCAGCGTTATGACCGTCCACATGAGCGGCAGCGTGACCATGAAGGTTCGTATAATCAATATCATAATTGGTGACAGCGGCAAGGTTCCCGATGCCTGCAGCGGGGTAAGAAACTGGTTGCGTACCAGTGATTCCGGCACCACCACCAAGACCTTGTGCGGGGAGGTAAGATTGTCCCATGGTTGAATGCGCGTAACCATTACCACGAGGCGATCGGATTGATCGATATTGAGATTGCATATTTGGCACGCCACTGTATGGACCACCTACATCAAAGTAGGGTCTGTTTATTTCGGGTACCGAAGTCATTGGTTGTTCCCGGTACCTTCTACCATCGTAGGGCCATGATTCCGGACGATAGGGTGTTGGATCACTCGAGGATCGGTTGTTGCGACTTCTAGAACGATGTTGTTGTTCTGCTTCCGCCGCACGATAATCAACTGTCCAGTAAGATCCTTTACCAGGTTCGTTTATTGGACGTGGAACTCGAACAAATGTCTTATTCAAGGACAAGTTGTGTCTGATGGAATTCTGGAATTTTAATGTATGCGTCAATGTCGTTGATCATTAAAGGTCACATGCGACGCAAAATTTTCCCTTTGCAGATCGCCAGACCAAACCAAATAAATAAATAAAAAAAGTTGATGATCAATTACCTTCCATCCGGTACCCGCGGTTTTGTAGTATGGATAATTTTCCATGACCCAGTTGTAGATCTCGTTTAAAGTGAGTTGTTTATTCGGACTATTTGTTATAGCATAGGTGATCAAGGTAGCATAAGAGTACGGAGGTTTGCCGGACACTCCGGTTTCAAGGTGTAAGTCTTGAGGATTCTTCGTTGGCGATGTTATCGGGGTGGTGGTAGCAGATGATTTCCTATTGTTCGAATTGAAAGCCTCAATTGGCGCAGCAACACCCGACGATGTATTCGGTGAAGATTGATTGGAAGATTGTTGTTCGTTCTTTATCGAAGTTTGGGCATATTGACTGACCGGGGAGACACTGTTGTAGGAAACCTGAGCGTTCGAACTCATCAACCCGTTACCGGCCGGAGGTATGGCAGTGCCATTGTTAGGTCCTCCTGAAATGATGGGAGGTAGATACCTAGGTTGTGGATAATGAGAGTGGGTTTGTTGAGGAGATGTTTGTTGCGAGTGCTGTGGATGATGCATAGGGGGAGTCGGTTGTTGTGGTGGTGGTTGATGGTGATGATGGTGCTGTGGTTGAACTTGGTGGTGATGATGCGGTGGTTGTTGAGGAGGATACGTAAAATTTCGCTGATTCATACCACGTAAAGAAGACCAGTCGGAAATACCAACGAGGTTTGAAGCGGTACTTTCGAGTTCAGTCATGATCTACAGAAAATTTTTTTTTTTCAAAGTGTGATGGATGGTTGAAATCCCTTTCCTTTATAAACAAATATATATAGATATATAAATAATTGGTAAGTAATCTTTCGTCAAGTTTTTTTTTTGGAGTCGCAGAAGTATAGACAAAAATTAAATTGATGGTGAGAAAATAAAAGGCTAAAAATTTAGGGGGAGGGGGTACACCGCAGCTCTTTATATGGTAATTAAGGCATGAAACTCATATACTGTATATATTGTACTTTAAACCACAACGAATTTATCGGCTATTCAATTGTAATACGTAGTATACAATTTGCTGGCTCTGAAGGAAATCCAGCAGTACATGAGAAGCCGAAAAACCGTAAAATAACAATGATTGCCGGAAAGAACTTCCGTTGCTAATACTAATAAGGGAAATGAGGCTGGTCTATCTCGTGATCTGTGCTTGGTGTAGGGAGAAATGAAGGGAAAAGAGCAAAAAGAACTCGGGCCAGGTAATAATCACTTTGCAAGCAAGACCATCTTGGAATGTTCTCACACATCAATCGTTTTTTTTGTTTATGCTTTCCTTCGTTAAAAAAGAATTGATATGAATGACACCTTACCAAATAACCTGATGCGATCTCGGAATTGCTGTTAATCGTCTTTTCAATTGTGAAGGAAAAAAAGGTTCGTGTTTTTTCCCTGGTCAAAACGTATCGGTCGTCGAAGTAGAGTTGTTTTTTTGTTTACGTTAATATAGACAGGTAAATATAATTGTTTTTTTTTTATTTTTGCTGTTCCGTTGGTATAATTATACTATGATATTATACAAGAAATGTAAACACTTGAGTTGCAGATTTTCTTAAGAGAAAAGACGAAGACAACAAAGTGAATATTTATTGTTTGAAACAAAAAACAGAATTGGTAGGAGGAAAGTTACCGGACTTTATATAAAATTTTTAAAAAACAGATGTTGGATTGACAAACTTCGTGTGCACTTGTTAGTATCTGGTAATTTACTATTTGAACTTATGGATTTTATTTTTGCATGTGTAAAATATATTACCATTTTATTACATTAGAGAAATTTTTATAGTAAAACGTGCCACACATATTTGATATATTATTTTTTTATACAATGTTCATCACTAGATGTCACTAATATTTATATACGCACTCTTTTTAATATATTATAAACGTGTGTAATAATGAGTTAAATGATGTTCAAGAGAAAAAAAAATTTTTTTCTATTAATTTATATAGTGACCCTACTTTTAAAATGAAGGTGACAATTGATAATGAATAAATTGATTTAAACCGAAAATAGCATGAACTTCTTTTTGATATTCTATGTATATAAAAAAAAGGTAATTTTACACTATTTCAGAATTGCGCAAATATATGTGCGCATTTTGTATAGCATACAAACACGACGTAACATACTTTTTTAATCAATTGACCACGCTTAATCAGTAATTGATTCAATGCCGACTTAATATTGGTTCATCTTTAATAAAATTAATGGCTAGCGTTCAACTTGACACTCTCGCGTCACCAAACTTCTCGTGGGTACCTAAATTAACACACCTTAAAAAAAAAAAAAAAAAAAAAAAAAAAAGGACCCCAAAAATGCTTATTACATATGCTGCTGCAAAAATCCAGAGGACTCTTTGAAACCTCTCATAACGGGTGACTGTGATATATTCATCAGACTTCCTGTTACGCCTTGGGTTTACCTTAAACGTACGTACGAAATTAGAAATCTTTTCCAAAAAAAAAATTACGAACATCCTTTCGTTGCCATTAAATTTCTCAACCAATCCCACATATATAACTCGAGAAACCATAAGGTCCATCCATATACCGTAATATTTTTCTCAAACCGCTCGTTCTTGAATCCATCTCACTTTATTCATTCCGTGATCGCGTTATTCGGAACTATTCAAGAAAGATGATTACAAGATCAACCAAAATCTTCACATACGTATGTGAGTCAAAAAAAAAAGAAATAACTTGATATGTATTCAAACGAAATGTACTTGTCACCTTCCGCAAGCCTCCGACAATGAGTTGAGTCAATGTCCGAGATCAATCTTAGGTATCGCCCGAGTCATCACACACGGCTTTCTCCTTCACCATCCGTCAAGGCATTCCTTCGAAATGGTTGAACTCGAAAACTTTGAGGGTAAAATCATATCGTGCAGAAAAACATTCTCGAAATACGATATATTCAATCCTAAAATAAAGCACGTAATCTGTTTCCAAGAAAGGTTTTATCAAATTTGTTAAATAACCAAGTAACCATAACGTGTTACACTGAGATTCCATAACAAATAACGATTCGTAAAAATATTTGTCGCCACGCAAGTAAATACGAAAATTTTATTAAAAAATGAGTTGTGATATTACATAAACGGTAACAACATTCATGTATATGTTAATCAGATACCATTAACAAAAATTGTTACTTCATGTAAATGAATCAATTTCTTGTTTTAAAGGCAATCTCTTTTTGTTTATTGAGATTAATGCATTTCTTTTCTTTATTAATTTGTTATTTTTGTTTTATTTAAACATTATTACAAATATTATTATAGAATCTTCAAAATAAATCTGTTATTAGATTTATTGGTTAAATATAATTTAAATATAATTTAAATATAACAACAAATTGTATATTTTGTTTAATATACTTCATATATTTATATTAAAAACTATAGCATTTAAAATACTCTCAATTTTATATTGATGATTTATCAAAAATAACCCCAAATAAATTATATTCTAATTATTGCATGCATGGTATATAGACTTTTCATAAAAATAAATATATACGGTATAATAAAACAACCTAACTATTTTAACTTATATAATATATATAATATTAAATTTTTACTATTATTTAATATAAATTGATTTAATTTTAAATATTGTTTAAAATATTTTTTAATAAACCAAATTAATAACTATATTGTATAACAGTTATATATATTTATGTACTTAAATATCAAATATAAACTTTATTGATATATCAAAATTATATTATTAAATTATATTATTAAATTATATTACTAAATTATATTACTAAATTATATACTAATATATTTTATTATAATTAATATTAAACTTATTATAAAATAAAGAATATATTTTTGATATTTTTAAAATTATAAATAATATAATATTAATTAATATTAAGTAAATAATATAAAATATTGATTTTTTTTAAAAAAAATAAAAAATTATTTTGTTAATATCATTACATATAACAATTTATTTTTATTTCAAGTTTTATTACATATAAATTAATTTTAAAAATTTAATTATAAAATACTATATTATATAAAAATAAAATTTCTAGTTATATTTATTAAATTAAAACTTTTAATAATAAAATTATATAAAAATTAAAATTATTTATTTCTATTAAAAATCAATTGATTTTTTTTTTATTATAATTAAAACAATTTATTTAATCAAAAATTTAAAATAAAAATATTTAAAAAAATTTAAAAATTAAATAATATTATTCATTATTTTAATATTATCAAAAAAAATAAATAATTTAATTAAATAATTAAAACAAAAAGATTTTTAAATATTAAAAATTATAAAAGTTTAAATATTAATTAAAAATCTTATTATTACATTAAATATTTATTTAAGTTTTATCTTTAATACAAAATTAAAAACCTATCTCAACCTTTAAATATATTTAAATATTTAAGAAATTTTTTAAACTAATATATATAACAATATATAGAAATTCAAAAACAAAAATATGATTCTTTAGAAAAAAATTCTTGAAATTATATTTCAACAAAAAAATGATATAAATTTAATAACAAAAATATAAATAATAATACTTAATTTAATAAAAAAAAATTTTTAATCATAATATCAACAAATCAAATTAATTTTTAATTTTAAAATTCTTTTTTCAAATTTTTTTCAATTGTATTTTATTAATAAAAATTTTTTTCCCATTAGATTTGAATAAAAAACTAAATTATTAAAAAAATAATTTTATTTATTTTTTTTTTTTTGTAGATAAAAATCATTTCTTTATTGATTTGTATATAATAGAATATATATCATAAAAGAAACATCTCTCATATGTTGGTACAATGAGTTAAATACTAGCTTGCTTACAATAATCATACAAATAATATTAAAAAAAAAATTTAAAACAATATATCTTGCCATATGGCACCAAGCAGCTATGAATATCTACTTAGTATTAGAAGAAATAGAATTAAAGTTGGTAGCTAGAGTTGTTAAATTATAAATACATTTGGAATAATTATATTTAGATTGAATAAATAAGTTAGCAACAGTAAATAATAGGTCAATAATAATGTCTTCTTATAAGTTATTATTAAATTTGTTTTGTTTTATGAAATATTTTTGGTTTTTGAATTGTTGAGATTGGTTAAATTATAAGGTTTGACATGATTCCATTTGATTCCAATAAGAGATGAAATATTAGTTATGGAGCAGCATGGTTTTCAAATTAAATTATATAATAGACATAAGGATTCTATTACTGTCTTGATCCAATTAGTAATGATTGAAGTAAAGAAAATTTTGTCTGTAAATTCACATAACAGTTCGACAACTTGCCATATATGTAAGATTGGTTTGTGGTTGCTGTCTAGATGGAGAATTTAATTGATGGTCTTGATAATTTGTTCAACTGCTTGTAAAGCTTCTGTATATTTAAATACATGTTGAATATCTTCAGTGCGAAGCTTATATCTTGGACATCAGGTATCTGGATATTGATTAGGGTATAATTGGTGAAGTGTAAATCAAGTTGAAAGAGTTCTTGAAAGCAGTTT